TGTGTGTGTGTGTGTGTGTGTGTGTGTGTGTGTGTGTGTGTGTGTGTAGAGAAAGGTCAACCTAACGTGTCACGGACTTCAGTTTATCTGACTTTCCCAGCTGTGAGGTTACAAGGACAACCCACACTACACCCATTTTCTTTGTGTGCTCTAGGGATCAAACTCAGTCCTGTGCCACTGAACCATCTCCCTGCGTGTTCTTGATTTGGGACAGGAACTCTCTTTGGCTGCTCTAGAGCTCACAGGGATCTCTGCCTTTGAGATCTCTACCAAAGAGATTAAACAAGGAGATTAAAGGCATGTGTTACCACACCAGCACTTATCTCCCCATCTTAAACTGTATTTAATCTCAGGAATTTATGTTTTTAACCCTTTTGGTTCTGATTGTTAATGTCTTAGTTGGATTTAGTCTTGGGGTAAAGAATATTGTGTGTTTGTCATCATGGGATTCCCTGATTGCTATAAAGATCCATTAAACTTAGTTCTGATCCTTAGAGGTGGAGTAGGTTTTAAGAGAAGAAACTTTGAATTCTCATACTAGCATCATAGATACTTGGAACCTCATAAAGATATTTTAAATTTATTGTTCATCATTTTACGTGTTTATCTGAATGAACCTTAGGATTATGGAAGTTCTCCAGCGTCTCAGTAAGATTTGGAACTGAAATTACTTTAAACATTAATAAAATCACACTGTTGCTTCACACAGTCCATCGGGGGTGGGTGCTGTTTGCCTTCCTGGTTTTGACTTCTTTGATATACTAACTGTTGGTTAGTTCTGTAGCATTTTTTTGTTTGTTTTTGGTTTTGGTTTTGGTTTTGGTTTTGGTTTTGGTTTTTCAAGACAGGGTTTCTCTGTGTAGCCCCGGCTGTCCTGGAACTCACTCTGTGACCAGGCTGGCCTCGAACTCAGAAATCCGCCAGCCTCTGCCTCCCAAGTGCTGGGATTAAAGGCGTGGGCCACCACCGCCCAGCTCTGTAGCATTTTTTAATGCTTTTCCCTCTGTATTTGTATTGTTTCTTTCTTTGCTGCCATCTTCTCTGCCGATTTCCTAAGTGATGATGCAGATATGTAGAATTGTTAGTGATATTGGATACACAGCCAAATTGACATATTGTAGTTACAAACGTTTGTTGTTCTCTTGGTTAATAGGTAGAAAGGTCTTTGTAAAACAATAGGAATTGACTTCTGAATTAACCTTGTCTTTTGAGTTATTTTTGTTTCTTGTTTTTTAAGCTCTTCTCACTAATGGATATGAAACCTCCTATCTCTAGAGCCAAGATGATTCTCATTACTAAAGCTGCTATTAAAGCTATTAAGGTAAGAAAAATATTTTATTTATGAATACTTTTAATTGTTTAATTATTGGTGGCAGGGGTAGGGCATACTGTGGTGCACATGTGGAGGTTAGAAAAACACTTTGAAAGTCAGTTCTCTTCCACCATTACATGGGATCTAGCTCAGTTTGCCAAGCCTTTGTAACAAACATCCTTACCCACGGAGCCATCTTGCCAGCTCTGCTTTTGAATTCTTTTAAGTATTGTTAAACATGAGACTTTACCCTGTAAGTAAGGTTTGCTGAAGGTTTTGGTGATACCGCCCATCTGTGTTGTGATGTCATCTGCATTGTGACATCCACTCATAGCGCTTTTCTATATTTCAGTTTTTATAAACCAGCTACAGGGAGAAAGTCAAGACTTGGTCTGTGTCACCCAAGATTACATTGTAGTAAATGGCACAGTTTAGAAATAGTATTGCTTAATTTTGGCTCTGTTTCTGTCTCTGGTGAAATAACCTCATACCTTGATACATGAAGATTGATCAATTAAGAAAGTACATTGGCTGTGGAAAAGAGTGTGTAGTTTTGTTTTGATCAATTCCTTTCTTAAGATTTTTTAAAGTTGTTGATTGTAAATTATTTCTAACAGCTCTTTGAGTTAATTGCTAATTTTTTTAAGTTGAAAATTTCAGTGTTTTGAATCGAGGAAAATACAGACATGTATAAAGTGACTAATTTTATGTTCTTTTTCAGCTTTATAAGCATGTTGTTCAAATAGTAGAAAAGTTCATCAAAAAGGTAACTATTCTTGCATGTTTATGATATGCATTTATATATGTGAATTGAAATTTGAATGCATGCTTCTAAAAACCACTCCAGGAAAAAAAAAAAAAAAGACAGTTACTGGGTTGGAGCCATGGCTAAACCAGGTGAGAGCACTGGAGTCTCTTCCAAAAGACCTAGGTTCCATTCCTACCACCCACATGGACTGCTAACACTCTTCTAGAACTCCACTTTCAGGGAGTCCTATGCCTTCTTTGAGTTCTGAGGGCAGCAGATATGCACATGGTACATATATATACATATACATAAGCAGACAACACTCATAACATTTATGATAAATGTTTTGTTTTTAAGATTTATTTATTTATTTTATCTATGTAAGTACACTGTAGCTGTCTTCAGACAGACCAGAAGAGGGCACCAGATCCCATTGCAGATGGTTATAAACCACCATGTGTTTGCTGGGAATTGAACTCAGAATCTCTAGGAGAGCAGGCAGTGCTCTTAACTGCTAAGCCATCTCTCTAGCCTAAAATAAATGTTTTTAAAAAATATTTACTGAACTTTTTAAGCACTGTGTAGTTTTAAAAGGAATATTTTTCATATGTCTGCCATTCATTGAGTATTGTCGAGAAGGTTGGTGTTCAGCTCTGTCATAGCTGAGAATAGGCCCCATCCACTCTATTGACATTTAATTTTCAGGTGAGTTTTTCAGATGAAGTTACTTTTTATTTTTCCTGACTTTTCTCTGTTACCATCACGATTAAGCTGTTTTTAGTTATATGATGAGAGAGAGAGAGAGGGGGGGGGGGAAGGAGGAGGAGGAAGAGGAAGAGGAGAAGAGAGAGAGAAAAGCATATCTTTCTCAGGAGAGAACTGAGAATGGTCTTAGGTTTTTTTGTTTATTTGGTTTGTTTTTTTGTTTTGTTGTTGTTTTGAGACAGGGTTTCTCTTGGTAGCCCTGGCTGTCCTGGAACTCACTTTGTAGACCAGGCTGGACTGGAACACAGAGATCCACATGACTGTGCCTCCCAAGTGCTAGGAATAAAGGTGTGAGGCTGTCTTCAAAGTCTTACTCCTTTGTTGCATGAAATACATGGTAGGTGTTTATATCAGAAGCTTCCTGTAGCAGATCAAAGGGCAAAGAAGTAAATGGGCAACATGGAATTTTACATGAGTCTCTGCCTCCAGTTACCACAGTGTTGTACATCTCAGTCCACTTGTGTTTAATTGATGCGTGTGTACATTTGTAAGGAAAGTGGACACAGTACTGGTTGTGACTTGTCTTTCCTACTAAGTGTATTATAAATATCTGCAAAATAACCCTCTGTGAGATTTGTTACTGTGGTTTACTTAGCCAACATAGACTTATCTCTCTAACTTTACTTTGCATCGAAAATGCTTCAGTGGCTGACCTTTAAAGGGAGATGTACATACATGTTGTTTTCTTTAAAATAAATCCTTATGTTTTAATAAGGCCCTATTTTTGTTGCTGAATTGATTGCCTTCCACGAAGGACTATATCTTTTCCTACATAAATGCCTGTTTCTCTAATGCTTGGTTGGTTGTTTCCTTTGTCAAATTTGTAGACCCAAATGACCCTTCCTCTTTTTATTTTTCTGGCACAAATTTTAACAGAAGTAAAACAAACATGTTTAAAAGTATGTTTTATTGCCAGGCAATGGTGGCGAACGCCTTTAATCCCAGCACTTGGGAGGCAGAGAGAGGCAGGCGAATTTCTGAGTTCGAGGCCAGCCTGGTCTACAGAGTGAGTTCCAGGACAGCCAGGCTACACAGAGAAACCCTGTCTTGAAAAAACAAAACAAGACAAAAGTATGTTTTATTAACTTCAAAAAGTTATTCGAGACTCAGAACAACTGAATTGTAGGAAAGTGGGTTGGTAAGATGGCTCTGGAAAGGTTCAGAGGTGAAGTCAAGGGTCTGGGGAAACAAAGTCATGGGAGTCTGAAGTAGTAAAGAATGTCACTGTTTACAGACCAGGCACTGACAGACAGATAGACAGACAGCTGGAGCCTGTGAGCAGCTTCTGCACAGTACACAGTGATGTGTTGAACACTGAGCTGTGTGTGTGTGAGATAGAGGGTGTTGGTGTTGGACTTTCGCTTTTCCCTTTCCTTTTCCCTTTCTCCTTTTCTCTCTTTCCAATTCCCTAGATGGATTTACTATGTAGCCCTGGCTGGCCTGGGTCTCACTAAGTAGACCAGACTGGGTCGGACTCATAGAGGTCTACCTGCCTTTGCCTCTGGCATACTGGGCTTGGAGGTGTGCACCATTCATTTCATCTCCTGATTACTTTCCTTGGACTAAGCTTGTCTCCTCCCACTTGCAGTGTAAGCCAGAGTACAAGGTTCCAGGCCTGTATGTCATCGACTCTATCGTGAGACAGTCTCGGCACCAGTTTGGAACTGATAAAGATGTTTTTGGGCCAAGATTCTCTAAAAATATAACTGCTACATTCCAGTATTTATATCTTTGTCCATCTGAAGATAAGGTATGGTTAAACCTAACCTTGTGCATGTTTGTTGAGCTTTTCTTTTTCTATGTTTACGTTCACGTTGTTTGAAGCTTATTATTTATGTTACTGGATAATATCTTCAAGTACTGAATTCTTGAATTTTAAGTTGTTTTTTCTACTCTGGTCTCACGTGCCCTCTCAATGGGTTGGAATTCACAGTAAACATCACTAACACTAATGCTTTAATACCTACTGCTTTGGTTTCCTTGAATTCTTAAAGAAATTATGCAACAGAAAAGGAAACTTGGTTTGCTCAAACCAGAGAGAGAGAGAAAGAATGTCCGTTTCTGAGAGTAGAGACACTTTGCATTAAGAGAGGCATTGTGGGTATTGCAGAGTCTGTGTGTGTTCTTAGAAATGGCTCTTGAAGAGTTTACCTTTCACTGGACAGTGGTGGCGCATGCCTTTAATCCCAGTACTTGGGAGGCAGAGGCAGGTGGATTTTTGAGTTTGAGGCTAGCCTGGTCTACAGAGTGAGTTCCAGGACAGCCAGGGCTACACAGAGAAACCCTGTCTCGAAAAAAACAACAACAACAAAAAGAGTTTACCTTTCTTTTTGTTTGCTGGGTATGTATTCTATTTATGTTCCTTTCATTGGATTTTATAACCGAGAAAAGGTTAATTAGAGTTTAACTGGGTAATCTGTTGGATTTTTTCTCCCTTATGAAACAGTAATTCTCTTTAAAATCAGATATGATACGTTATTTTTATAAATATTTATTGTATGTTCATTTTCTTACATATGACAGAGTAAAATAGTTCGTGTGCTAAATCTTTGGCAAAAAAATGGAGTGTTCAAAATTGAAATTATTCAGCCTCTTTTGGACATGGCAGCAGGAACCAGTAACGCTGCACCGGTAGCAGAGAACGTCACCAACAATGAAGGTACAGTGCACATGTGCTTGTGACAGACGGTCCTGCAAGGGCACTGGCGTCTGTCTGCCTGTCTGTTTTGTCCTGTTCCAGTTTGTTTGCTTTTGTTTTATTATATTTTCTTTTATTGTTCTTTAGCTGTCTGTTTGTTTTCAAAGGCTGTGGATTCAAATGAGAGGGTGGTAGGGGGAATCTCAGAGGAGCTGGGGAAGAAAACCATAATCAGAATATATTGTAACTTGTCAACATTGAACAAAATTTACCAAGAGCAAACAAACAAACAAACAAACAAAAAGAATAGAGTTTCTGTATGTGAAAGGTTTTGTTTCTGTGCTGGTAGAAATTCCCATGGAAGAAGACTTGATTTGCATTTGGAGGGTACAGTTTTTCTTCCTGTATTTTTACTTCAAATGGGAACATGCCCTTTGTCGTTTCTTATATAATATATGTCTTAGTAATCATAATCTATTCATTTTGCTATATGTTAAACTAAACAGAATTTTGTTTTAGCAGTAAAACTAGAAAGGCATTTTAAAGGGGAATATACTGACTTTGTGAGGCCTGATGCCCTTTGCTTTTTCAGGGTCACCTCCACCCCCAGTAAAAGTCTCTTCTGAACTTCCACAAGCTCCCACCAACTCCATGCCTACTGTACCACAGCTGCCCAGCTCTGATGCCTTTGCTGCTGTTGCTCAGCTGTTTCAGACAACTCAAGGCCAGCAGGTAAGCTGCTTGATGACCAGATGCTGGCAGATCTAGAGGCTGCTGTTGCCATTTCCCATGCCTCCTTGATACGTGCCTCAGCTGGAGAAAATGTCTTCTCAGTCAGAGTAGCCTTTACCAGGGAGTTAATGTAAGGAGTTAGGGCTGCCGAGGAAATGTGAGCGTGAGAAAGAAGGAAGCGCTGAGAAGACCTCTTTGAGAGAAAGAGCGTGAGAGCTCTTGGGGTGGCAGGTGTTGTCTAGTACTGCTGATTGAGTCAAGATGAGGTGGAGTGAACTTCGCTGTCCTTCTAGAAAACTAGTGTCACAATTGCATGTTTTTTTCTCCTCTTTGAGCCTTGTTTGTATCGTTGGGATGGTCAACATACATTTCTGACCATAAGCAATGCACACTGTAATGTGTTCACTCACAAACCCAACATACGTTAGCCAAAGCTGGGTGCTTCCCCATTACTTACGCCTGTGCTGTTCTTAGTCACTCTGAAGATTCTTTTCTTTTCAGTAAATTAACTTTGATGATGTTGCTTTGTCGTGTGGTTTATCAGTTTTCCCGTTCTTTAAGCTTCAGCAGATCCTTCAGACTTTTCAACAACCTCCAAAACCACAGTCTCCCGCCCTTGACAGTGCTGTGATGGCTCAGGTTCAGGCTATCACAGCTCAGTTAAAGACAGCTCCTACACAGCCACCCGAGCAAAAAACTGCATTTGACAAGGTACGCCTCTCTCACATCACCCCACTGTCTGTCTGACCCGTCTGGAGCGGCTTGTGAGACTCGCTTCTCTTCTGGAGCTTCTCTGGGTTGTTCTTTTGTTTGTGGTTTGGTGATTTTTTTTTTTTCTCAACATCAAAATGTTTATTTTTCCTGGTGTGTGATGCAGGCTTGCTATAAAAAGTTTACAGAATAAGGAAAAGTGAGCAGAAGGAAATTGTTCACTAGCCTACTCTACCTCACAATGATACTTAGTGTTCTGTTGTATGTTTTCTCCAGAAGTAATATACTGTGGGCCTATGCTTTTGTTTTGATCTTTATTGTTAGGTCTGTCTACATTCAGCTTGAATGGTTATTAAGATTCCAGTAGATAAGGCATCGAGGTTACCTATTTTGCTACTGATAGACATTTTCTGTTGCTGTGAAAACTGTAGTTACCATGTGTGTGGCTTGAGTCCTAGGAGGACTTCAGCATCTTTCTGCTTGCTCAGGGGGCCTTGCCATCCTTAGAAATTCTGTTTCTATTTGCCTGTGACCAAATACCCAACAGAACAAATTGAAAGAGGGAATATCTATTTGGTTCTTGGTGTCAGAGAGTTGAATCCATGGTCACAGCAGGACCATGTGGCAGATGAGCCTCTTCAGGTTAAAGGGGAGGGAAGAGGACCTGGACCTGGTGAAGCTTTGAGAACTATGCCCCTGGTGGCCTCCTTACAACTACATACCATCTTCCAAAATTTCTCCACTCCCAACATCCCCCCCCCCAAAAAAAAAAAACCCACACATACTACCAACTAGGGACCAAGTAAATGTTAAGCATGAGCCGGGGGTGGGGGTGGGGGTGGGGGGCGCATCTGAAAGTGAAAGGTACCAGCCATATTTAAGGTATCCCTGATCTCTGCTGCATACTGCAGCATTATACCACACAACTCTTCTTCTGTCTCTTGTGGTTTTCTTAGGGTTATGGTTGTCTAAAAGTTCTTATTCTAGTTTCCCAGTTAAAAAAATAAATATATATAGTTTGAAAATCATAGCATTAAACTACATGTTTAATATCATGGTCTCTAAAATTTATGATTCTGTCTAACATAAGATAAAATTTTATCACCAGTAGGTAAACTTCAGTTTTCATTATTTTATCTTAGTGATTAATGAGTTACTACTGACTTTAAGAAAGACTGGGTTAAATTTTGAGTGAAGAAAACATAACAAATGAGGCTAGAGAGATGGTATACCTAGTAAATGCTTCATTGTAAGCATGATGACATGAGGTCACATCCCCAGTGCTGTGTGGAGTTTGCTGTCACCCAGTGTAGCCAAGTCTGTGAGACCCAGAGTAAGACCAAGGACAGTTAATGAACATACACCCCCACACACACACATACACCCTAAATTATGTGTTTGTAGGGGAAAACAGAATACAGGAAAAGAATAAAAGGAAAAGAAGCTATTCTAGACTGGTTTGAAAAGATATGTTTGGATGTGCGTTCACAGGTCTGTTTCCATGTCCAGGTGAATGTAAGTTCCTGTGTAGATGGTTTTAAGTACTAATCCTTGTTATCATTTGGGAATCTCTCTGTCTGTGTCTTATGTCTATCTCTATTTCTTCTGAAGCGGAGTCTCTTTTACAGTATGCTTCAAGGTTTTGTTACGCATATATATTTTATTTATTAAAATACCTAATTTATCCTTCATATTTTTTTATTTATTATAATGTCTTGGTAATGTTTGGTGCTTGTTTGTTTGCTTGCTTGTTTTTGGACACTGCTTTGTCACTCCGATGTTTATTTCTGCATCTTAATGGTTGAAGTAACATGTATCTGATGATGGGGATTGAACTCAAAACCTTAGCATATGCAAATACTTGACCACCCAGGACATAAATAAATATACACTTATTTCCAAATGTACTTCTGCTTGATTTTTTTTTTCTTTTACAAATAAACCACAAGTGGTATCTGTGGACGGGTAGATAATTGTATGGGAAGATTTCTTTTATGTGTTTGAATGTTTTGCCTGTATGTATGTATGTATATGTATATAAACCATGTGCATGCCTGGTTCCTATGAGGGTCAGAACAGGCATTAGATTTTCTGGAACTGGAGTTACGGATGCCACCATGTGGGTGCTGGGAACTGAATTGAGTCCTCTGTGAGAGGTGTCAGTGCTCTCAACTGCTGAGTCATCTCTGCAGCTATATGAGATTTTTTTTCCTTAAAGAATTAGTTTGTGTATTTGTAGAAAATCAGTAAATTTAAAGTTTTTTATTTTTTTTCAGGTAAGTGAGCAGGCTATAAGTCCATATAATGTTAGCAATGTAGACCTTCCTGAGAACATTCCAAAGGGTAGCAGACTAGAAACTTCGGAAGGGCTTCTGTGCTGTGCTCCTGCCGGGGGTGGGGGGGAGGCTTGTGGGGGAGCTTCTTCAGGAAACACAGTTTCTGGGGGAAAGATCATATCCAGGATATCCAGGGCCCACTTACTTGACAGGGCCATCTGCTACCGTCCTGTTCTATTGATTAATTTTACCTCCGCAGTAATCACAGTAATGTCTTTATTAGGTTGGACCTGACAGCTGGTACTTATATTAGATATCCAAGTTAACACAAAATTACCTATCACAATGTACCTGCCAAGTAGACAGTACCATAAATGCATCCCTTTAGCTTTCAGATGTACTGAGAGTTTCCCCTGCAGAGAGTGCATTTACTTTAGTGAATGGTTTTCTTTGCATAGGCTGTTGGTACTTTTTATTTCATTCATACTTGGGTTTCTAGTCTTTTGGAATCTCTGGGTAGTTCTATTTGTCATTTTCTGCAGCATCTGCTTCTGTTACTCGTCTTCTTACATACAGCAGTGGAAATGCTGAAGAAGACCACGGCAGTGGTTTTACCTGAAAGAGTTGTTTGCAAAAAGAAATTTTATGCTGGGGGTAACTGTGTGGGTGCATGTGCTGTGTGCTCTGTGCTCTGCATCTCAGTAAAGCCTGTGTTAAGCTCGACACTGGGGCACTTTTATTCAGATCTTTCTACATCTTCCATTTCTACTAGAAATTATTTTTTTTTAACTAGAGATTTTTTTTAATTGTTTCAAATCTTTTTTCCAGATCAATATATATGGATATTAAAACTGAAAAAAATGTATCTTGTTGGTACTATAAGTCAGTATATCTGCATAGTACCTGAAATATAGATTATATTCAGAAAATACTAATTGCTCTTTATTTTTTTTTTTTAAAGATTTATTTATTTATATATGAATACACTGTAGCTGTCTTCAAACACACCAGAAGAGGGCATCAGATCTCATTACAGATGGTTGTGAGCCACCATGTGGTTGCTGGGATTTGAGCTCAGGACCTCTGGAAGTGCAGTCAGTGCTCTTAACCACTGAGCCATCTCTCCAGCCCCTAATTGCTCTTTATTATAAAGAAGTTTGCTGCTGTGTGGTGGTGATGCACATCTTTAATTCCAGTGCTTGGGAGGCAAAGGCAGGCATATTTGAGTTCGAGCCCAGCTCGGTCTGCAAAGAGCTTGCCAGGATAGCCTGAGCTGTTACACAGAGAAACCCTGTGTCAGGAAAAAAAGAAAAAGAAAAAAAAAAAAGAAGAGTTTTGCTATGTCATCAAACATTCTTTATACTTGGTGTAGTTATGTGTAGTGTGTTGTCTAAGGAAAGCCCTTCCCTTTGTGACTTAGAAATCTCTTCATAATGTACACTGGAGTTTTAAGGCAGAACAGCACAAGAAACGTAGGTTAGGAACCTGAGGAAACCCATGAGCTTAGTAGGCATTGCTGGAGAGAAGAGTTAGCTGGATCTCCTGAGCCTTGTCTATGTAAAGTATGAAATCAGATCTGTATCACAGATTTTATTATTATTATTATTATTATTATTATAAAATGTATAATCTCTTTAAAGGAAGCCACAGTAACTGTTGAATGTATTACATTCCCTTTTTAAAATAAGCTTAACTTTTTAAAGTCATGAGGGGAGTGATTTACGTATGGTATGGTTCACATGGAGGTCAGAGCAATTTTAAGTATTTTTTTTCCCCCTTCGCTCGGTTCTAAGGATGGAACTCAAAAGGTGTTAGGCATGCAAGACAGTCAGCATACCTGCCAACCCATTGCACTAGCCCAATAAGTTTTATTTTAAAACTACTATGCTAGTTCCATGTACTTACAGATTATGTGGGTTAGTTTTTTTGTTTTAAGAAAAGTTTGGGCCAGGCAGTGGTGGCTCACGCCTTTAATCCCAGCACTTGGGAGGCAGAGGCAGGCGGATTTCTGAGTTCGAGGCCAGCCTGGTCTACAGAGTGAGTTCCAGGACAGCCGGGGCTACACAGAGAAACCCTGTCTCGAAAAACCAAAAAAAAAAAATTGAGAAAGAAACATTATAGTAAAACAACTGAAGAGACCCTTGACCCTGTCCTACACCCTATTTTTTTCCTTTGGTTATATTAGTATATTCCCGACTGAGCAGCACATGGGCATATGCATTTATAGGGCTAGGGTAAAAGTCTGCCTGAAAGCCTATGCCTGTTAACGTGCACAGAGCTCCAGAAGTTTAGTCTAAGCAAGTGGATATTTTAGATAAGTGTACTGATAAACTTACTATGAAATAAGCAGATCAGGAAAAAAAAACACTGCTTTTATCATTGGAAAAGGAAAATAGGATTTAAAGTTGTATTTTTTTCTAACATGGCACTTACACGTCAAAATTGTCTGTCTTTGGACAAAGGCCCCCAGAACATACATGCAGGAGAAAAAGAAATTGTATATACAGCATGGTAGAGGTATGGCTGGTGCAAACCTGTTAATTCTGTAAAGTTTCTTTTTAGTGACTCAGTCTTTGTTTTAAAATGGAACCTTGCTATACACATTACAGAAGCTGCTTGACAGATTTGACTATGATGACGAGCCAGAGGCTGTGGAAGACTCAAAGAAAGAGGACACGGCTCCCATCACCACCACAGCCCTTGCCACGGCTGCGCCTCCTGCGCCCACCTCAGCCATACCTGCTAGTGCTCCTGCTGGGCCTGTGCCCTCTGCTACCTCGCCCCCTCCTCCACAGGCGCCATTGTGAGTGCTTCTTAATGCCTTGACAGCTGGTAACGGTTACAAAGCATAATCTAAGCAACAGTTAGGATTAAAAACACATTTCAGTGCAGTCTTTGTTTTAGAAAATTATATTAAAGAAATTTCTCTTAGGAATAGTGTCCTGGCCGGGCGGTGGTGGCTCACGCCTTTAGTCCCAGCACTTGGGAGGCAGAGGCAGGTGGATTTCTGAGTTCGAGGCCAGCCTGGTCTACAGAGTGAGTTCCAGGACAGCCAGGGATATACAGAGTGAGTTCCAGGACAGCCAAGGCTATACAGAGAAACCCTGTCTCAAAAACAAAACAAAACAAAAAAACAGGAATGGTGTCCTTATCAGTTAGAATTTTAAAATGTAGCTTTTATGTTGTACTAAATTTATTGATTGCTTGTTGCTCCAGAGTGACATTCTGCAATGTAAATGTGACTTAGGGCATTAAGTGCTTTGCATGAATAATGAAAGTGCTCACCTCATTTTAGTGGGTACCCTGGAGATGGCATGCAGCAGCCAGCATACACACAGCATCAAAATATGGACCAGTTTCAACCTCGAATGATGCCAATGCAGCAAGATACGATGCACCACCAGGTACAAGCAGTTTTCTTGTATTGACTTTTGTACTTCTGAGTGCTGCTGTCACTCTACAGTTTGCTGTGGAGAACTGCAGCTCCAGTGAGAGCTGTGGAGTGTGACTCTCTAGTTGCTTTTGATTTTAATTACAGGTTTATAAACATGACATCTTCATCTAATAATAATAGGTACTTTAGTTAAAATAATTTAGTGACATTGACCTTCTAAAGAAACCTAGTCACACAATTCTTTCCTTTGCTAGAGTCTCTTTCCTGCATGCTGTGATGATCGGATACTATAGAGAACTTTACATTCTTAGTGTAGGTTGTGTTGGTAGTTTAGATTATGCAACAAAAGGGTGTGTAGCACACCAGAGAGTTACAGGAAATACTGTTGGTTCGCTTTGCTATGAATCTAAGTTAGGGGTGAGACTTTAAAAACAAAGCTTGTCCGTCCCCCACCCCCACCCCATTATACTCATCCTAGATAATCTGTGGGATTTGTTTGATTTTTTTAATACTATAATTATTTTTATGTACAACTAGTCTTGGAAAAACCTCCTTTATAGCCTGTGTAAAAAGAGTGTCCTGATGAATCTTACATCTTGTCTGTATCTATCTTCTCTGTATTGTTTCCAGATCATTATTTACTTTGTTAACATGTAACTGGTACAGTGATTTTTTTTTTTTAATGACTTGCTAAGGAAGCCTGTTTAAATATGAAGTCAATATAAGAACATACTGCCAGGTGTTTATTAGACATATAATACTGACAATTTCTGAATGCTTATAAGTCATTCAGAAAGGTATTTTGTGGCATGATTGGTTGTATTGGTGCTAGAACTAACTGTACATGCTGAAATAGCAGGCTGAGCTTTAACTCTGACTATTGTGATTATATTTGGAGTTTTAAAAGTTAATTATGTCAGGAGGCCCTTTGGTAACATTTTTAGAATTATACACTTAATTGGTTGTGGTGTCAACACATAGCATAGCATTTGAGTGACTGAGACAGGAGGATTGTATGTGTCAGGCTAGCTTGGGCTGCACTATAAGACCATTGTTTTTTTGTTTTGCACTTGTTTCTGAGATGGAGTCTTGTGTGTGGCCCTGTCTCCATTTGTAGACCAGCCTAGTCTTCAGCTCATGGCAACTCTCAGAAACCAAGAAGCCATTTTTCCTTCTAAAAGCTTAATTACTGTTAAAAAGTTGAAGGAGGACCATTTGTAATAAAGCACCTCCTTGGCTAAGGTTAGCCTGTCATTGCCACTTTGTGTACATAAAGTTACACCTTAAATCGATTTTCAGAATTCTGAATGAGTTGCAGAACTTGTCAAGTATGTCATATTTGAATATATAATGATGGTTTAGAAAAAAGTTACATATATAGAAACCGGGTAGCTTTTCGCAATTAAAATGTATTGAAGTTTTTCAAAACGTATTTTTTGTTGCTGATACATAATAGATTTAACTCTTCTTTAAAATGAAAGGTTCCACTTCCTCCTAATGGACAGATGCCAGGATTTGGGCTTCTTTCTGCACCACCTCCATTTCCTCCCATGCCTCAACCTGCCATGGCACAGCCTGGGATGCCACAGCCCGGGATGCCTCAGCCTGCTATGGCACAGCCCGGGATGGCACAGCCTGGGATGCCTCAGCCTGCCATGGCACAGCCTGGGATGCCTCAGCCTGCCATGGCACAGCCTGGGATGCCACAGCCTCCTATGGCACAGCCTGGGATGCCACAGCCTCCTATGGCACAGCCTGGGATGCCTCAGCCTGCTATGGCACAGCCTGGGATTCCTCCAACTCCACCAGTACAGCCAACTTTCCAACCAACTTTTCAGCCACAAAATGAGCCCCATTCACAAAAGCCACATCAGCAGGTAATAGTTTCTTAGGTTGATTCACATACTTTCCTTGTTTGTTTGCTGTTTTTGTTTCAGTGTGATGAAGATGTCTGGGTACTCATTCACTCTGTCCTGGGTGCTCCAAAGGTGTAGTGAGGGTTCATACAAGAGCACTATCAAGTGTGGAGGTTGAGCTAGAGGAAAGAAGAGGTCCAACCAGTGCCTAGTTTACAGTGTTAGTTGGTGTTTAGTTACAATGATATGTGATTTATACAAAGTAACTTCCACAAGTAGAGAACTTTCCCCTTAGTTTCCAAACATTGAAAGGTTTTGTTTTTGGTTAATGGTGGCTAGTAATCATTTTGACCCAAGAACCAAAAAATTAGTATGTATATGTATACCTTACAATTTCTAAATTTCTGATTTTTTCCGATTTTTTTTTTTTTTAAAGGAAATGGAAGTAGAGCAGCCTTGTGTTACAGAGGTTAAGCGGCATGTGCCCGAGAGCAGAAAGTCGAGATCCAGGTCAGCATCCAGGTAACTTACAGGATGAGCTATGGCTCTGTGATCTGAGGAGACTGGGAAACCTCATTATACTGCTTCTTGTCATTAAATAGGGTCTTAACATATAGCCTGGGCTGGCAAGGGCCTCAATGTGTAGACGTGGATGGCCTTGAATTTAGAACAATCCACCTATCCCTGCCTTCTTGGTGCTTGGATTAAAGGGATGTCAACCATGCCTAGCTTTAGGTTTTTCTGATTCAAAATGTTAACATTAAGAGTTGGTACATAAGGAGAAGGTGTCAAAAATAATACTGATTTTTATTTTGTTTTTTAATCACTTGCCTCATGTATCTGAGGCCCTGGACTCAAATCATGAGCACTGCTTGAACTGAGTCTCGTATTGCACGCCTATAATCCCAGCACTGGGGCATCAGAAGTTTGAGGCCAGCTTGGTATACATGAGACCCTGCCTTGAAAAGACCAAAAAAACAAAAACAAAAGCCAAGAAGAATTATTTTCAAACCTACCTTACCCACATTTTGTTTGAGTGACTTAGTACCCGAGTGGTGCAAGTACGTTCGTGCATGTGTGCGTGTGTGTTCTAGGAGTTGTAAGTTCTGCGCTGACAACAGATGTGGAAATAGCATATTGAAATCACAGTTCATTGTGTTCTTCAAAGAAGAAAGGGAGAGTGGCAGCAGTGTTCCCAGCCCTGAGCATGGAGATGAACTTGTGGGTAGTGTTAGTGATGCTAAACACAGAGGACAGTTACAAGCCGTCAGCCTTATTTATTTTGTTTAAATTATACCCGTGCATTCCCTGTTACTGAGTTCTCGCAGACCCAGATGTTCACTCAGGTACTTGTGGTTTTTCCTGAACTTACTATGTGCGTCTTTCCCGTCTTTCTCTATGCTCTCCTCATTAAAAACACATTAGGTCACCAAAGAGGAGGAGATCTAGGTCTGGCTCTAGGTCTCGGAGATCCCGCCACCGTCGGTCTCGGTCCCGGTCAAGGGATAGGCGTCGGCACTCACCTCGCTCTCGATCTCAGGAAAGACGGGATCGAGAAAAAGAGAGGGAGCGGCGGCAGAAAGGCCTCCCTCAGATCAAGTCAGAAACTGCGAGTGGTAAATAGTGACCCTGTCTTCATACTTACTTTATTGCTTTTTCACATTGTGGATTTAAGATACTTTATGACTGTTAGCAAAGCTATAAATGATATGTTATCATTGTGGACGAGTTTTATTCTGAACAGGGCTTCTATATGGATGTCTGACTTATGTACTACACGTTCTTTCTAGTGCTTCTGCACACATGAGATGTGTCCTTCCATTAGCACAACTACTTCCCTCTCTGATGAAGATTCAATAGTTTATAGACTATTAGCTTGCTTGTCATCGTTTTTAGAACATATAAAGTAGGCATATTCTTGTTGTAAATCATTAACTATTACAGTTTAAATCATAATAGTGACCAGTAGGTATTTAAAATGAGGGTCCAGCCTTGTTCTGCTCTGGCTGGCGGATAGCCACTGATGGGGTCTGGGGTTTCATGGGCATTGTTAGGTCTAGTCACAGAGAGACTATTGCTTTTCCAGTGCTTGTGTCCTAGTTTAATTTCTAAATACCTATTTTTTAAAACTTTTAAGTTTATATATACTTTATAAGTGGGATTTCCTATTTAAACTTGGCATCGTGATGCCATGTAGTAATGAGAATTATTAATGTGCAGTGCTGCTGGATAAAGTTATTGTTTTAATCACTAATTTACTTTCAGTTTGTAGTACCACACTGTGGGTGGGCCAACTGGACAAAAGGACTACTCAGCAGGATGTTGCCAGTCTCCTAGAAGAGTTTGGTCCAATTGAATCAATTAATGTGAGTACTTACTGCCCTGAAGGGTGCTAACTAAGCAAGGTGTACTCAGTTGTTTTTGAGACTGAGGCCTTGAACGCGAAGGTGCAGGTTGTTCCCTTAGCATTCTGTGCAGTAGATGTTTCTTGGACAGCGGTGTTTGCATTAAAATACCTTTCTAGGAAAGTAACAAAATTTGCACAGTTTAATTAAAACCAAATTTGAATTGCTAGCATTTAACACCACGCACAGGTTCTTATCTGTGGTACTGGGTTTTCATGGTGGTACTGGGGCCTGAAACAGTTGTGCACATTCACAGTGCTTGGGCTCTCCCTTGGACTTGGAAGCACTGATGAGAAGGGGCATGGCTAGAGCTGAAGAGTCTGACTTGTTCTTTGATTTTGTTAGATGATTCCTCCAAGGGGTTGTGCCTATATTGTTATGGTTCATAGACAAGATGCATACCGTGCCCTGCAGAAACTGAGCCGAGGAAACTATAAAGTGAACCAGAAATCCATAAAGGTACATTTTTTTATCATTTATAAAAGGTTTTAATGTGTAATATATTGTTGTTGGGGTTTTCTTTTCAACTCTAGCTTTGTTGCTTAGGAATGGCTTGAGACATAAAAGCTACCCTGAAAAACAATAACATCAAGAATATTAGTTGACATGAAGTTTTGTGTAACAGTTTTCTTAGTTGTTTTTTTTTTAATGTAGTGTATTTTTATCAAGCTTTTCTTCTCCTCCAGCTTTTTTTCAGATCCCACCTCCCTCCCTAACTCTCCATTCCCCCTCACCCCAACCCCACCCAGGTCTGGAAAACCAGCAATAAAATGAAGAGGAAAAGCACAGAAAACATCACACTCTCCTCAAAATCAGAAACTAAAACACACAAGCAAAAAGTCACTAAGACAAAAATGCCCAAAGCAGCTGAAGATAAAAAAAAAAAGTCTACCCCCGCTTTTAATCCCAGCACTTGGGAGGCAGAGGCAGGTGGATTTCTGAGTTCAAGGCCAGCCTGGTCTACAGAGTGAGTTCCAGGACAGCCAGGCTTACACAGAGAAACACTGTCTTGAAAAACCAGGGTGTGTGGGGAGGTCTACCCCTCCTCCCCCCAAAAAAGAGTTTGTTTTGAGTTGTCCATGCGCTGCTGGGCATGGGGCCTGCTCTCAGGATAATAAACCCAGTGAAGCTCCATTGGGAAAAAGTAATGTTTCTTTTGCAAGCAGATGTCAATTTCAGTAACTTCTTGCTTAGAGGTGGGAGCCTGTGCTGGCTTCTCCTTCTCGGAGCTGGCACCCTATCTGGCTTGAACCTGTGCAGCAGGATCTGTAGAAGCTGCCACATCTCTGATTTCATAGATGCATCAGTAACATTGGAGTTACCCAGGCCTTCTGGCTCTTAAGTTTTCCCACCTTCTCTTCCACATATTTCCTTGAACCCTGAGGGGAGGGTTTAATGAAAGTAGCCCATTTAGGATGCCAGGTCTCTATTATTTCCTATCAATTGCAAGAAAAAGCTTCTCTGGTGTTGGCTACTGCAGGTGCTGATGTGTGAGGACAGCACGATGTCATTAGGATCATTTTATTGCTAAGCTAACAGCTTGTGTTGTGTTGTGTCGTGTTGTGTTATGTTGTGTTATGAGACAGGGTTACTTTGTATAGCCCTGGCTGTTCTCTGGGACTTAGTCTGTAAACAAGGCTGGCCTCACAGAGATCTGCCTATTTCTGCCTTCTTTGAGTATTGGGATTAAAGGTTGTATACCAGTACCACCCAGCTAACATAAAAATCTTATTGATAATGATTTATTTTTTTAAATAAAGTCATAGGAATTTAACCCGGGCTCTTAGTGTGCACTAGATAACCATTATACCTCCAATCACGTTATTTGTTTACTTACATACTTATTTAGAAACCAGTCTCATACAACCCATGCTGGCCTTGAACTTCTGATCTTCCTCCATCTTCCCTGTGAGTACTGCAGTGTGCAGTGCCATATCTATTTAGCTAGCCCTAATTGGTACTTTAAAGATGTTTTCTAGTAAAATATCTTTTTATATAAAAATGTGGATATTCCATAACTTGCGGTTTACCGCCCCTTCTTAGAATTAACTGTGAAAAAAAAAAATCAACAAAGGTAAAGAAAATTAAACAGCTGCCCCTGAGGAGTGCTCCTGCAGTCCTGTCTGGTTCTCCTCTAATGTCGACTGCAAATAGATGCTGCCGTATCTGTAGATTCCGAAAAGTGGTATCCAATGTGCTAGGCTTCTCATTGATGAACTGGTTCTCACCGCTGTGTGCTGGCTGTGGTGGATATAGAGAGATTTCTATCCTGAGACAGAGTGGGAAGACAGCAGAACCATTAATCTGATTAGGGAATAAAATCTTAAGTACTATTCAGGGACAGCTAGTCCAGGCTGCTCCTGGTTGTCCTGGTGAGAGGAGTAGAATGACGGGAGTAGTGATGAAGGTTTATGACCCTTTCCCCTTTCTTTGTATTTTCACCAATTGTAGATTGCCTGGGCTTTAAACAAAGGAATAAAGGCAGATTATAAACAGTATTGGGATGTTGAACTTGGTGTTACTTACATTCCATGGGACAAAGTCAAAGCTGAAGAGCTGGAGAGTTTCTGTGAAGGAGGCATGTTGGACAGTGACACACTTAACCCAGGTAAGCAGATCCATTGCAGACAGGTCATGGTCATGTGACAAGTCAAATGTAAGTTTATGTTTTGCTTAAGTCCCAGTCAGGAGACTGCCTCTCTTGAAAATTGAAGACACTGTGATCTTTCTCTGTATAACATGGTTAGTGGAGAAGCACACAGACTGTAGATATTGCAGAGGCAAATAGAGTTAAGTAGAACTTTGCACTGAAAACAGACTACTCAGTCCCCACTGCGCATCATTGGTACAAGCTGACCAATGCACAATGCCCCCAGATCAGAACACTTTCTGCACCAGAAGCATCATCTCTTTGATTAGAGATGCTATACAATATGATGATATTCAACTTTATTATGTTTTAATCCATGCTTCTGAAATAATTTCTGGCCAGGCAGTGGTGGCACACGCCTTTAATCCCAGCACTTGGGAGGCAGAGGCAGGTGGATTTCTGAGTTCGAGGCCAGCCTGGTCTACAGAGTGAGTTCCAGGACAGCCAGGGCTATACAGAGAAACCCTGTCTCGAAAAAAAACAAAAAAAAGGAAGAATTTAAATATCCAGAGAAGACTCACTCACAAGTGTATTAGACCAGGAAGTTGAGTTGTTTGTGGATACAAATATTACAAGTGTCAAATTAGTAGTGAGATTGCTGTGGGAATAAAGGGTGTGCATATGGTTGACAACCAAAAGCAGGGATGACCCCTCCTCGGATGATGCTCAGTGCTTTCAATTAAAGGAAGGATTGTATTTCTCTTTAGGCAAAGAAGCCTACCATGTTCACACATATGCTCTTGGCCAGGACAAAAAGATTAAACCAGTGGAACTCTGGAAGTAGTGGTCCTGGGAGATTTTATTGATGACATAGAAGATTAGTAACCTGCAAAGCCCTGGAGTACAGAATGGAAAGATAACTTTTTGGAGTTTCCTTCCTTAGAAGATACCAAATAATAGGTGGAAGGGCTCTCAGTTAGTTTTTACTATTAGGGAGTGACAGAGGATAGCTGTTAGAACTGGGCATGTCTGCTGGATCCATCTGTTCACCTAATTACTAAAAATAGTAACAGGAATTTGTTTAGTAAAGCTAATATTTTCTGTAATTTTCATCTCTGTATATTTAAAGTTATACATGAAAACAGTATAAACTTACTGTTAAATTTCTTTAATTTACAGATTGGAAAGGCATCCCCAAGAAGCCTGAAAATGAAGTTGCCCAGAATGGAGGTGCAGAAGCCTCCCACACAGAACCAGTGTCACCCATACCTAAGCCTGTGCCTGTGCCTGTCCCTCCCATTCCTGTTCCTGCACCTATAACAGTGCCACCTCCACAGGTAAGGGATTGAAAACATGGTTTAAACCTTCAAAGGTCTGAAAGATTGCTTTTGAAATCTTACTATTCTGTCTAAAAACTGAGTAGACAGGCATAGTAGTTTTCCCTGTTTTGGTATTAAATCTATTTGTAAACTCCAGCTTTTTTCCATAAATGTTAATAAAACCAGATTAAATTTAGATTGTTTCACAAGTGTGTGGATTATTCCATGCCCTTGATTTATATTGTCCTAGAGATGAAATCCAAAACTACTATGCATATGTTATTTTGCTTATTAGGGCTTCGTTCTTCAGGAAGTTACTATGTTCTGAACTCAGATACACATATCTAGATCCCAGCTGCTTTGTGGAAGATGGAATCATTTCATATTTGTTGGCTGTTTTGTTGTTGTCATTGTTGATTGGTTGGTTGGTTTTCAAGACAAGGTCTTGCCATGTAGCCCAGGCTATCCTCAAACTTGCATTTTTCTGTCTCAGTTTCCTAAGTGCTAGGACTCTATGACCACCTGATATACCTACCTAGCTTATTGATAGTTGTGGTTTTTTTTTTTTCCTTTTTTTTTTTTTTTTGTTTTTTTTTTTTTTGAGACAGGGTTTCTCTGCGTAGCCCTGGCTGTCCTGGAACTCACTCTGTAGACCAGGCTAGCCTCGAACTCTCGAACTCAGAAATCCGCCTGCCTCTGCCTCCCAAGTGCTGAGATTAAAGGCATGCGCCACCACCGCCTGGCTTATTGATAGTTTTTAAACTACAGTTTGCATTTGTTAGGTGTTTGGTGTCAGACACCATCACTGAATATGTACTCACATAGTGTTCCTCCTCCTCCTCATCTTCTTCTTCCTCCTCTTCCTCCTCCTCCTCCTCCTCTTCTTCCTCCTCCTCCATTTTTGTGCCCAGGATTCAACCCAATGCATTTACCACCAGGTACACCGACTTGACTGAGAATACTCTTTTAGTATTTAATCTCATACTTATTTCAAGTTGGCATGTTTCCAATTTAGAAAGCTTAAATAACCAGGAAGGCAGTACAGACAATTTGACTCTAGAGTCATTAATCTTAGCCTACTAGATAAATTGCCAGCTATCCTTTCTTAGATCTGTTGTATGCTGTCAGAACACTAATTGATGCCAGTCAGGATAGCTATCTTACAGGAGAGAACAGAACCTAAGAGTTATAGCATTTAAGTGGGCACGGGTTGCCTACGATATTTTCATTCTAATAAATGTAGTCATATAATAAAAATTTCAAAGCACCTGCTTGTATTTTCTTGGCACACATATACTGTATTTGAGAGCAGCTAAGTATGTTTATCATTTTTCTTTCCAGGTCCCACCACATCAGCCGGGCCCTCCTGTTGTTGGTGCTCTCCAGCCGCCTGCTTTTACGCCTCCCTTAGGAATCCCCCCTCCAGGCTTTGGCCCTGGTGTTCCTCCTCCTCCTCCTCCACCACCATTTTTGCGCCCAGGATTCAACCCAATGCATTTACCACCAGGTACACCGACTTGACTGAGAATACTTTTTTAGGCTCTGAGATAAAGTCATGTAGCAGGAGCTGACATGATTTCTTTTATTCTAGGTTTTCTTCCTCCTGGACCCCCACCTCCTATAACTCCACCAGTATCCATTCCTCCACCTCACACTCCACCACTAAGCATCCCAAACTGTAAGCATGTCTTTCCTCTATGCTGACTTGACGTCTTGGAGTTGGGTAGGAGGGAAAGTAAACAAATAGGAGGGTCTGTAGTCTGGTTGCAGATTGTTGATTGGGAGCATGACAAATCACTCAGCTTCACATGTCAATGTGATTGTTCCTTAGCTACTATCGCTGGTATAAATGAAGACACTACAAAAGACTTATCTATTGGAAATCCCATTCCAACAGTGGTGTCTGGGGCTAGAGGAAATGCCGAGTCTGGTGACAGTGCGAAAATGTATGGTTCTGCTGGGCCACCTGCTGCACCCACGAATCTGCCCACTCCTCCTGTTACCCAGCCTGTTTCACTGCTTGGTAAGTTAATTATTCTTTTATTTTTATTATTACTTTTTTTTCCCCTTCAAGTTTGGCTTATTAAAAATACTGTGAATCTTGGCAAAGTAGCCCCAGTGGGATGCTCCTTTGAGGAAGATCTTAAACGATGTGTGTAGTTGTTCTTTACCAGGGACCTCGTGCCTAGTTGTCCTGAAGAAAACATTTCCATCTGCATGTGCTAATTTGGTATAGTATGTAAATTTGACTAATTTCTGTGAAAGGATTTGTTACAATCATGTTCTTGATTAATATGATTCCATACTTCCAGCTCTAGCAGCTGGTTCCTTGTAGCTATTCCTCTCTTCTTATCTATCTGAGACTCCTGGACTTGGGAGCTTTTAAAGTGTACATAGACTGACGAATACATATCTAGGATAATCCTAGCAGAATGGTGTTTCTGTTGAGGGCTGTGGGTTGAGGGGAAGCTGAGGCCTTTCACTGGCTCCTTGGTTTTCTTCTGCTGGAGTTGCTCTTTTCCACAGCCTTAGTACTGCAGTCAGGGAGGTACAGCCTAGAGGCTTTACAGTTCTCCTTATGGGACATGTCTTGCTTCACATTATGTAGTTTTTATAATAGACCATCTTTTAAGGTAATAAATCATACTTGAAGTGATATTACCAAATATAATTAACATTTGATTCTCCTAATTGGAAGTTAGTTCTTGGGAATGTGAGTTTGTTTTATTTTTAGAGGTGTATGTGTGTGTGCACATTGCTCTCAGAACCTTACGTAGCTTTAGAAAAGAATCGATTGGTGACCTGAGATAATGGGACTGGGGATGTTGATTTCAGATAAAGCACTTTATCCTTCACCAAGATCTTCTGGATTGGAATGTTCTTCTGTGTGCATGAAGCTCATTTATAAAATACCATGCCAATTTCTTTTTAAATGGCTATACTGCCCTTGTTCAGGCTGCACTTTATGGCTTATAATGAACTTTGAATTTCCTTAGTAAACAGGGAAAAGAATGTCAGAGAAGGCTCTGGGAAGGTGATTTGTTTAATGACGGTGCTTTGAGGCTTACCCTGTATGGGAATGGCAGAAAGGCACGGTGGGACGGGACACCAGCACTGTCTGGTTCACTTGGATAGGACGTTTTTTGTATTTCTACTGTGCTTGCCTGAGACTCTTAGAGTCTGTATTAGATGCAGTTTTCTAGTCAGCCCTGCCTCCACATCCTTTCCACCTGTGCACATCTCTGACTCAGAAACCTGTCTTATCTAAGGTCTTTAGTTGTCAGGCTGCCTGGGACTAACAAAGGTGGTGTACATTTGTGATTTTTTTCCCTTGGACTTCATAACTTCACTGAATGAGTAGAAAGATTTTATAATCTCCAGGAGTTTGCTAGCCACTGCTTATAAGTCCTCCTATTTAGAGTGAGAGCCTGCCTCTATTTACCCCAGATCCTGAAGACTCTGCCCTTTATTTCTTACCACCACTGAGCAGATAACTTAACCTTTGCAATCAACATTAAATAAAACAAAACAAGTTCATAAGCTTAAAAGTTTAATGTGGTAAGCACAGCACAGCTGAAGAACACCGGATCTCCTTCCACGGTTCTCATTGCCTCTTGACCTTTCTGTGTGTCCTTCCCCTCACAGGATGGAAGGTCATGAGAGGTCACTGGTTGCCATGCGTAAGGGGGTAGGTCAATGAGTGACTTTTAATAATACAGGGCTCTTCCCTTTTGATCGTCTTTGTCTATAACTTTTAAGACAAAGTTTGAAATTTGAAGGTAGTTTAAATCCTGGAAGGTTTAAAATTTGATATGATAAAAATGGAAACTATTTTATTAATATAAGTACTTTAAACTAACATTGAATAGTCTAGTTTCCGTTAACAGAAGGAAAATCTTGTGCATGCCTTCAGTCAGAAATCTGGAAACATGCTGGGCTTTTTGGCACTGTATACCCAGAACTCGGGAGGCTGCGGTCCAAGGATCTTGAGTTGGAGACCAGCCTGAGCTACATAGCAAGCCCCTGTCTCTAAGAAAGAAATCTTGAAACAACAAAGATAGTCACATAAATCTTGACCTTTCAGAGATATAAGCTTTGGTTTTCTTATCACAAAGGTTTAATCAAAAGTTTAATATGAAAACATTCTTGACCTGATTTTCACGTTGTAGTAGAGCAAGCCCTTTGAAGAGGTGAGTGGGTGTCCACCCTGATCTGCCATTGTACTCGGTCCAGGGCTTCTGGCGGGGTAGTCTAGTCTCGCACCCTCCCGTCCCAGCACTCTTCTCTGGCCTTCGTGTGCCATCTCACATTGTCATCTGTCACAAGAATCACAAAGGAAGCTGATCCTTGGACATGCCTGTCACCAGTAAATGTTAAAGTGCTCACTCACACCTCCTGTTTGACAGGGGTGAGCTTTTTTTAAATAAGTGAGATATTTTTGTTGTTGCTGTTGTTTCCATGTGCATTCAAATAAAGGAGAATTTATTCAAAAGCATCACAGTTCCACCACTTTGATTGAGGAACGCAAGAATCCCGCTATGGTGTCACAGTACCAGTGGACCACGAGCTGGGTGCAGGTGTTGTTGGTCCTCCTTGTGGGAACTTAGGGACTAGGTGTTCCCTTTTTCCTTGGTGCTCTGATATTTCCTTAAGTCTGTCAAAAGAGATGCTCTGTTGACCAGAACGCTAAACCTAGAGACTAATGCCGAAGTGCCATTTCCTCGTCTGTAAAGGGGAGTACATGGACATACCAGGGAGTGGTGACGAGTCAGTGGCTAACACACAGAATGGTCTGCCACCTGGGAGGCACTTAGCTGTCACAGGTAAGAAACGGTAGGCGCACTGAGGACTGAGGACATCTAGAGACATCTAGAGAGTGCTGTCTCCACAGTCTGCTGACGCTGCTGGGTTCTGACTCATAAGCTCTTGTGTGTTCTCAAGTAGAAAGCACGCTGTGAACAACAGTCTATCTTTGTATAGTTGCTTGTGCATTTTAAGGTACATAAGACTAGATCACAAGTATTCAAGCTCTGCTATTTGACATAGTCAGAAAATATGTTAAATCATAGCAGCATTTTATTTCATAACACCACTCAGTATTGCAGGCCTTTCTATAGTTGATATCCAATAGTGTTCTTGCCAAGTGACACGTTATGTCTAATGTGTGCCAGTAGTTTTGAAGCAGCACGGGCTTACTGGATGTTAAGCAGACCAAAATTTCATGTTGAGGCCTAGCTGTAATGGGAAAGATAGTGGAATGCCTTGGGACTATTTGCTATTGTGAATTTGCTGTCATCAGACTTGAGTTTGAATGTTAGTTTGGAGATAACAGCCTGCTGCTAGAGATGAGATTAGGTGCCTCCTCTCCCCCCCAAAAAAACCAACAACTCTGAATTTGGAAGGACCTAAGTATCCATCATATTTTTAAGAACATTTTGATTCTTTTAATAGCACTGATCATTTGAAAGTGTAAATGACTAGGCACACAACCATTATTTGTTATTACTTGATTTTTAAAGAGTACTAGATTTAGTATCTTATGGGCCAAAGTAGCCAAAACCCATAGTGCTTTGTCAAAGTTATGTCTGGCATCTGCAGTTGTCAGTCATCTAGGAGAGAAGATGGATGGTGGCAGTCCCAGTCTTTCTTTTGATTGTATAAACATCTGTGTTTGCCTTTTGGAACCTTTGTATGATATGTATTGCTAATATGATGTACAGCATATTTATTAAAAAGTTAATTGTAAATGTAAAGTTTGGGTTACTTTGGTGTTCCAAACAATAAAAAAAAAAATACACAAAAAATGTGTTTGTGTTACCTATCTGTCCTGTGTTACAAGGATATCCAGAATATGTTTCAAGACACAAACTCTACCAGCTGGAATTGAATTCCTTTTGTGGGACAGTAAAGCCTTCTTCTGACAGAAACATCACTTGTCCATTCCTGTCACGAACAGATTCTCGTTCTCACCCTTCCTGCTTTTGTCACACAACTGCAGATGGTGACGTTTATAAATGACATCTCACTTCTGGGAGTAACCTTACAAGTGTAAGGTTACTTTTTCTTTGCTTTAAGTCAAGGTGATTTTAAAGACTCACACAGTGATGGCTTGTTAGCTGAGTTGCTGGTGTATAGGTTGGCACACTTCAGTCCCTACATAGCTGCAGCAGGCATTGAATTGATCTCAGACTAAGGCTTCTCAAGAAAAAAAATGAGGATTCAATTGGTTTGTAAATTATATAAAATATGTTTGATTTTATATTAAGAGCCCGAAAATGTACCTACAAGATTAATAGTTTTACCTCTATTTTGGTGTTGTTTGAAAATGGGTATTTGATTTCTGATCGTTTAGCTGTAGATTTCTCTGTTTAGTCTCTGTCTTGAACTTTATCATTTTTATAACTAGTCATTTTAAGCAATCTTTAAATTAGAACACCCAATCTGTTATTTGTATACCAGTCATTAATATTAATGAACAGACTATCAAGAGAAAAATAGAGAAATTACATTTTTTAAAGAGTAATACCTAGTTTTTTGTTTTTTGTTTTTTTTTTTTTTAAAAAAACAATTCTGTATTTAATACTTTTATACCAAACTTTAATATGGTTATACTAAATTACAAGCTAGGAGGATATACCAAAAAGCCCCTTGACATTGTCTTGTAAAAGTGTTCCTTTGAAAGCCTTAAGTACCTACCTAACTGTTGTTCCAGTAGTGGCTTGGAAGTTCTTGTTACAGTGCCTTCAGCTTAATTATATACAATGTTGTTCAGTGAGGGATACAAAAGTAATGTTACTCTGCAACAGAAATTTGCCTAGGATATGAATTTTTATACATAAATACAACATGTTATCTCAAAAGGCAAAGCAGAACATGAGAAAAATCTTATATGAAACCTCTGGGTGCTACATTGTCTCCAAGTCCCTGAGGCGGTCATTACCTACCTGGTGTTAACTAGCCAGAAGTAAGCATTGCCCCTTCTTTCTGAGGGACACCTTGAGAGTGGGGGAGCAGAAACTTGGG